ACCACTCTCGAAAATACGACACGTGTTTCGCTTCTACACGAGGCATCCTAAGGTGAAGTAGACTCTGCGGAGGCTGGCCGCTAAGTGAGTCACTATAAGTGAATATAGTGACTCACTTAATCGCGGAATTAAGCAAATTAGTTTACGCCTGATTCTATCAATTATGTTATCCATCATTAAATCATTAGCTATCCTATCGAAAGTTCTCTGCAGAAAATAAGCCTCTCCTATAGATTGCCTCATAAAGAGTTAATATCCGTAGTTATTTTTCTTAGCAGCCACACAAGACAATCCACGGCAACCGCAGTTTTTTATTATAGTAGTTATCAGAAAGATACTGTCGCATCTCCTGTTTCATTTCCCTCTACCGCAGGATAATATGTGGGTTTAGAGGTTCTCAGTAATATTTAGTGGATTATCTTACGCCGCCGCTACACGACATTATCAAGATCTTGCCTTCACAACGTGATTTCGAAAAAATCATCAACGCTATAGATATAGCTTTCTCGATGCTTCTATTTTCCGCGGAACAAGTACTAAATAAGCATATAAAATTGGTTAACAAATGTATCCAACTTGCTTATGTAATGTGACTGTCAAGACTTAATATTCGTACCTCACTAAATTAGTTTTTAAAGTTTGCAACATATATATTTGCAATGTAATTTACCTAATCATTTTACCGTGAGGTCGCAGTGTAAGAATATCCACTACTCCATATCATCCCGTGGGTGTTGTAAGTGGCGACAGAGGGAAATATATCCGGAGTCGGGCAGCAGCGTCTTCCTAATATAGGAAAAAATAACCGCGATTGCCAAGCGTGGCAACTATGGCAATTATCCTCCTCATGAGACAATCTATGGGAGAGGACTATGTTCAGCAGTGGACTTAATAGGCTGTAACGGTAATATAATAATTTAAAAAAAAGTTTCCTCCACACTAGGATTTTCTCCTGTATACTAGAGGCAGTTTGCATACATTTTCACAAGGACAAACATCCAGACCCGGAAAAATTATTTGTAGTTCATACAAATATACTCGTTACGTGCGTGATCAAGGGAATCATGATCACTTGATTTCGAATACAATTCACTTATAATAAATAAAGATATATATTACAAAGTATTAAAAAATAAATAAACACATAAACAAAAATGAGTATAAAGATAGTCAAGATTCGAAATTGACTCAGGACGTTTTAAAAAAGACTTTATTTTAAACTTATTACTGTTAATGTGCGATACATTACTTATATACTACTTAATTAATCCACGATGGATTCTAACTTAAAGCTACATGTTCGATACATATGAGAGCATAACTATGACTATCCTAATTCTTATTCTAGATCTTTTAGCTAAAGAGTAGTTACTATTCACACGAAAGACCACCCGTCCTCCAGACCTAATTCAGCAATCTACGCCCACGCTTACGCTTGAATTGTGATGGTCTCCGGTGCAGTTAATACCAGGATGCATAACTAGATATCGAATGTTGATAACATTTAAAACGAAATCACTATAAATTAAAGCCATGTCTTGTATAATAATGTTACACTTATTAATATTACATAATGATGACATTTTTTCTTGGAAACCGATATATACGTGTGTACTTACTCTCTTAATTGGTATAGTATGATGAGCTCTAAGATAACTACTACGCATTTTTCTAACTATATGTAGCATTATAGAGACCCTCTATGCAAACATATTTATGCAATTACTCTAAGGTAATAAATAGTGTTATGTGGTTGCCAGGTTGCGTTGACAAAATTACCTTGCATGCTACCTAAAATTACAGGACAAATACCGTATGCAATTTGATGTAATCACTTGAAAAAGGAACCCTTTATTTTCCACAGGAATTTCTTCACTCATTCTTACAACCATTACAGTTTGCGGCGTGACGACAGTGCCGCCACAACACACCGAAGCCTAAATCACGCTATCATAGTTCCGAAGTACTGCAATATATATAGAACAGCTTTGTACTAACACACGGAGCGTTACCCGCTCCCCGGGCTGAACACCTTGCCCGGTGGGAGATCTCCCCTTTTCCTTCCATGGTCACAAGACCATCAAAATTTCTCTTCTATAGACAGTCTCATGCGGGGACGAAGATATTTACCATAGTTCCTACCCTTGATATTTGGCTTTCGAGAAACATTTTACTAATGTTCCTTTTGGACAACAAAATCATTAAATTCTTCTCCCACTGTCGCCGAATCATTGCTTAAACAAAATGTAAAACCTTGTTCAAATTCTTTTAAATTCTATAGAGTATTACCAAAAGATATCGTTAAATATTTCAAAACTATTGATATTAAGAAAACGGCAGACTTATGGAGGATTTACTTTAAATTTATTGCATCTATAATAGATACACTAGCACCTTATCTAGAAACAATTTTTAATACAAGCATCGAATCTGGTGTGTTTCCTGATCTAATGAAACATAGTAAAGTCATACCTTTATTTAAATTAACATTAAGGAAAATTTAAAAAAAAATTTGGATCTGATGTTAGGTTTTTTTAATATAAATAAATTGCTTCATAAAAATCAATTTGGTTTTACAAGGGGTCACGGGGATGCCAGAGTCGAACTTATAAAACAGGTTTTTTTGTGCATGGGAGAATTCAGAGGACACTTTGGGTTTATTTTGTGACCTTTCCAAGACCTTCGACTGTGTTTACCATGAGACAATAATAAGGAAGCTACAGTACTATGGTGTCAAGAACGCAGTGCTTAAACTTATTATTTCATATTTAAGTAATAGAATGCAGTAAGTTATTATCAGTGGTAAAAGTTCCTCCGGGCCGTCCTTAAAAATAGGTGTCCCTCAGGGCTTGATTCTTGGCCCATTCATTTTTGAGTGTTGACTAATAACTTACCTTCCCTTGTAGGGAATACATCAGTAAATTACGATGTAGTTAATTCCTTGATTTTTAAACTTAAACGTTTATCATTGAAATGTGCAATTGAAAACGGCAATAAAACTAAATTTACTAAATTTACAACAACGAATGTTAAAAATCTGAATACCTATGTGTTTTTAAATGGGGAAGAACTAAGCTCTGTTGAATCCTCTGTTTTTCTTGGCATCGCTTTCGAGGTAAACCTTCGGTGGGGTCACCATATATTCAAAATAGTAAGCAGACTAAGCTCCGCAGTTTATACTATAAAAAATTAGAGATCTTACTAGTGTCGAGACATCTAGATTAGTTTATTTCAGTTATTTCCAAAGCATAATGACTTATGGGATTTTGCTATGGGGAAATGCGGCTGATTTAGAAACTATTTTTATTTTGCAGAAGAGGGCCGTTAAAGAGAAATGAAAATTTCTCTTATGCCTCTCTCTAAGTTTGTAAAACCTTAAACCGAGAGAGTCTCTTAGAGAAAATTTTAAAGAAATAAATATATTAACTTTAGCCTCTCCGTATATTTACGAAAATTTAATGTATGTCCACAATAACAAAGGTAGTTTTAGTAAAAAAAGTGATAAAACTCTGTAAATACTAGGAACAAACACAAGCTAGTGATACCAGTCTCTCGACTCCACAGAGTCAGTGATTTATTCTTGGGGCAATGTATACGCTATTACAACAAAGTCTCAGAAAGTACAGAAGGTCTCTCTATTATCAAGTTTAAATATTTAATTAAACAAGAACTGTATAACAAGGGTTATTATAATATAAATGAATACATGGTTGATAATAAACTCTGGGAATGAGGTGGTCGCTACCAAGCTGTTTTTAAAAGAAATTTTGTAAATAGTTTGCAATCATTTATATTGTAAAATTTATTTAAAAAAGTCCTGCTGGGTTTCTTGTTGGTTTTACTAGTACAGAGGATTTTTTTTGTACCAGTGGCAAGTAAAAAAAACTGACTTTCAGTAAGAATTACTTGTAATCGATATTGAATAAAAATTATTCTATTCTATTCTATTCTAAACAACTGTAGAAATTTCTTTAGTTTAACTATTTTGTAAGCACAAGTCTTTGTGACCGTATGACATTTTATTTTATATTTTTAATACGATAATATTTTTTTTATTTACAGGCGTATTTAAAATAATAAGTAAATATTCTTTGAATATGTCGAACACGACATATGACATATAACGAACCTTTTAAAATTACTTCTGAACTAAAATCAAAAATTATTCAAGCTGACTTTTAGGACATTTTCTTAAAACTGCTGTACTTTACTTTGATCGAATTTCCGATATGGATACAGTTTTTGTCCATTTTGTGTTGATTGATGTATAGGTACGTTCATGAAATCACCCATACAACACGCCGTAAAATTTGCATCTGGCAGCACTGATGTAATAACAATATATTTAAAGCAACTTTCTTAGCTTTGAATTTTGACTTTGCCTTGGAAACTGGGTTAGGTTGGCTTATATTATTAATTTAAAAATTATTCAAATTTTCTGATCTCGAGGTGGTGGTTTTAATCCCGGGTTGTACCAAAATGAGTTATTGGGTGTTTCTATCAAGAAAATTTCAGTTGAAGCCTTTAGTTAGGAAGTTGTTGGTGTTTTACCTCCTAGCCTCACAAATGACCGTAAAGCTGTGGATACTTCACCTGTTCTTTCTACGGTCATGTCGGATAATCGTCCCATCGGACTATGAGAGTGAGAGTATAGTGAATGCATTTGTGTTTGCGCGTACACAAGGCACTATAATCCTGACCTATATTATACTTGGTCTGGCGGACGAAGTATATTCATCACCATCATCATCATCACAGCCCTTCACAAGTCCACTGCTGAACATAGGCCTCCCCCAAGGAATGCCACAAAGCACAGCCTCGTACCGGCGGACGAAGTATAGGCTGTCCCCCCACTAAAAAGAGTGACAACCTGGTAAGACGTGCAGGAAGTCGACGGATGCAGGTGCAGGGCTCAGGACCGTGCTTTGTGAAGTATATTATTTAAATGAAATGGGAATAAGCAAGGTTAGACGTATGATTTAAATGAAATGTTCATTTATCAATATTGTAATAATTTTATTTGTTATATAATGGCAACATAGTAGATATTCAACATTTTAAATTTTCAAATATTTATTATCTTAAATAATAACTGAGCAGTTGTGTACTTATTTACTATAATAATAACGTAATAGTTCCTCCCAACATTGATTTCGAATATTAAAATCGAATAAATATATAATAATATAAAATAGATTTGATTGTGAAATATGATATAATAAAAAATTTAATTTTCTAGAAAACAAGATGATTTTGTGTTTCGCCGTGTGAACGTATATTATTAACCGATGTAATCGATATTGATAAGCTATACTTTTTATTTTTAAGTATGGATTTAAAATAATGATGCCACGAATATTCGGTTTCTATTCAGTATTCGGCCTATTCGGTCACTTTGATTAATATTCTGGATCGTGAAAAGTAAAAACTATTACAAATATTTATTTAATATTTTAACAAATATTACTCAAAAATCAAATTATTTTACCAACAAAACATTACAATGAATACTTAAAATTTATCAGAGGTAAATTGTGATGAAGGCATTTATTCATATAGCAACCGATTGCGCTTATCCTCATAAACTATACCTGCTTCTGAAAATACCCTCTCACTGAACACACTGCTACCGGGCGATGATAGATATTATATTTTTTTTTTTCGAATTCTTTTTTGATATTGTTGTACGTTTACTGACCACCACTTGTGAGGGCCTGCTGTCCGAAGTAGGCGAGTTGTTTTTAGAAGAAAAAAAAATCTCCTTTCCAATAGCACTTTTCTTATCTACATCTTCATTTTTCTTCATATTTACTGTAACGAATTCCTCAAAACAATTCCAGAAGCTGTTGCCCGCTGAAGTGAGAATTCGGAGGCCGAATATTCGACGCTTTGGCCAAGAGTGTGGCCAGATATTCGTTATCGGCATTCGGCAAAATCACTATTCGTGACATTTCTTATTTAAAAAGACATAAGAATTAAAAAAGTGATTAGCTTTACATTTTGATAAGTGTTACACTATTTTCTATAGGACCTTTATTAATAATAATAATAAAACATGTAATTAGAAAACACGCATATTAAGATAGGACACGAAATTTCAACGTTTTAATTATATTTTAATTTATTTTCTATCTACATAAAATATTATTCATAACACAGATTATGACCATATACTTTTTCATAATGAGCTATTGTTTAATTTAAACTTAAATTGTTTTATTTTATATTTTACAGAATCAGGGCAGTTTGGGTACTTTTCTCTCATCATAACTTTCGAAAATATTGCTTACACCTTGGATAAAGTATCATGCGTATGATGATTTATCTAAGGGCCACATCAATCTTTTTTGTCAATTTTAATTAAATACCCTAGAGTAAGGTACTAAAATCTCAGAGTAATCAATGTATTTAATTACTCTAAGACAAAAATAATATAAAAGTGACAACATGTGTTCCGCGTTCTTAGAAGTTTCATATATGATAATAATTAGTTCTAAACTAAGTTACATACCAAAAGTAGATAATATCTACCATACTACCATACTCCCTTTAAACACCTACCATACTCCCATTGAACACTCAAAAAGGGATATACAGGGTTATTTTGCAATAACTCTAAATAAATGACATTAAATTTGGGATGATTTCAAATAAATGTAGAAGCCTTATTTACACGTATTTTCAAAAACTGCAACGCTATATTATTATTTCTATATTTGAACTTAAGTTTAAAATTGGAGTACTCTGTGAAAAAAGATCCTGTATAAGCGTCATTAAGTACTCTATAATATACTTGTTTATGAATTTTTCATTATTTATAATATTTCTCTTTAAGTTTTATTTACATCACAAATTGTTTTGGTGTCACTAGGACCTTTAACTACTAAATGTGTATAATACAAAACTTAAAAGATCTGTTTACCATTGAATTATGTAATTCACAAACGTTTATATTTCATAATTTATTTATATTATACCTTTACTCACAATAAAATACCTACACTGTACTTTAATACAAACCACAATAGCCTTAAAGTCACCAAAAATATTATAGTAGAGCTAAGATAGTGTAAAAATTTAAGTTTGTAATATTTTCGTATGCCTTGTGGAATCGTATCAATTGGGTCCTTCAATAAGTATACTCTGACGCCTCTTACATAACTTGAAAAGTATTCTTTCCAGTCCAGTTGTGCGATATCGAAATCGAATAGATATTTGTCAGCTAAACATAATTCTTTGAGTAATAATTGAACGTTCCTATTGTGGAATTTCCAATCTCGCAGCGCAAAGTATCCGATAACTGACGAAAATTTTTCAATTTTCTTGTAGGCTTTTCTTAACCTGTAAAGAAGTTAATCAAATGAATATACAGAATAACGTAATGAGAATCCTCAATTGATCAGATAGCAAATGACAATAACTGTAGTGCCATTCATCATTATTACAGCCCAAAATGAAAAGGAAGCCCAAGGAATGCCACAAAGCACCATTGACTTCCTGCATGTTTTACTTTCACTTCGCCTGCCGGTACGAGGCTGCGACTCGAGAAACTTTCTTCCCCATTGGTTGTCGGTTCTTCGAGCTATATGGCCGGCTCATTGCCACTTCAGCTTACTAATCCGTTGGGCTATGTCGGTCACTCTCGTTCTACTGCGGATATCCTCATTTCTAAGTCTATCACGCAGAGAAACCCCGAGCATATCCCTCTCCATAGCTCGCTGAGCGACTTTGAGCTTCTTCATACAGCCAGCAGTGAAGGACTACGTTTCAGATCCATAGGTCATCACTGGCAACACACACTAGTTGAACAATCTTGTTTTGAGGTTTTGAGGTATGCCTGACGAGATGTGTCACAATCTCCTGAACGCCGAGTCGAATCCGTCGATTGACTTGTTGGTCGAAGTTGAACTTACCTAGTCGGACTATTTGTCCCAGGTAAACATACTCGTCAACAACTTCGAGCTTAGTGCTCCCAACAACTACCAGCATAGGTGTGACATGGACGTTACTCATGACTGTTGTTTTGTCCATGTTCATCTTAAGACCTATCCGTTGGGAGACATTATTGAGCTCATTAAGCATAGTGCTTAGGTCCTCCAGCGATTCTGCCATAAGGACTACTCGTATATTGTCGGCAAATTGAAGGTGAGTGATGTTCTCGCCATTGATACCATTAATTACATTTCTTTTTAAATTATTTCGTTCTTCTAATTCATCAGACAGTAACAGTCGATGGCTGAATATGAGTCTGTACCATTGTATGGAATTAATCGCTTCGCTTGATTTCTCGCACCTTTGACGCTGCGAACCATCTCCTGTCTGGATATTTTCTATCTGGCATATACGAGATGATTATAACGTCGTTTAGATTAAACCATGAGGTCTATTAAGCCTTTCACGACTTCCGTAAGGCAAGAGTAAATAGGCTTTTGTTAAGTAGGTCAGGAGATGGGCAGCAGCATCTTCTTGATAACAACTCAGAATATCAAGAAACTGCTTGCCAACCAGCCTGCCAAGCATGTCAACCATGGTAAAATCTCCCCTATGAGGCTATTTATGTGGGAGGCCTATGTGGCCTATGTTCAGGACTTTAATAGGCTGTAATAGATGGGTGAGTAATGGATGATAAACGAATAATAAATATTAAAATTAATTACTTACACTGGCTTCCTTCCAATCAACACTGCAATTGCATCAATAATATAGGCAGGTATCCAATGAAGAAAGAAACAGATGAAGTTGTACAAAAACTTTGATGGGGTAAGATATAATATGTAACACCATACGGCTTGTGTGGTTGGAACATGAAGTCCGTATATTTCGTTGTATTTCATGAAATTTCCTGCAAAATCGAGAATAGTATAAGAATGGAATTATTTATAAGGTATTTTCTAGCTATTTAATAACAGAACTGTAATGAAGTAACAACGAAAAATATATAATTTTAAAACTTTATTTAATTTTAACGTATACAACCATAAAACAGTAAAAATCCAATTACTAATCAATTCAAAGTCAGATAGAGGACAAACAATCCTCCACTTTTTATAGAATAAGGGTGATAAACGAGCACACAGTCCACCTGATGGTGAGTAGATGCTGCGGCCCATAGACATCTACATTTATCTTCGATTTAAAATCAAAATGCAAATGAGCTACCACCCCTGAGGACTAACATGCCTCATTACCATATATTACCATACATTATATATATAAAATGGGTTTCCGGTTAACACTCACCAGACGAAACCCTCAGCACCATGAAGCTGGTATTCTATGAGAGCGTGGTCCTTCCCCGAACGGGCCGATCCATTCGTGATACAAAATAAATGGTAAGGAAATAAATAATCCTGGGAGAGAAGTTATAATTTCTGTTAGCGAGACCTTTTTTAGAACCTTACTGTAAGGATATGTTTGGCTTTACTAAAACATGCATTTTAGCTACAAAGCTGAACGTATTCTTTAAAAAAATGTAGTTGCGGCTGTAATGACTTAAATATCACAGAACCCTGCCTTCAACATCTACTCGAATTATGCTGTCCTATTATATTGCCCATATTATACAGGGTTAGTTTTCAAACGGTATATCAATATAAATAATGAAAATACGAGTAAATGAGGCTTTTTCCTCTATTTGAAATTGTCCCAAATTAAATGTGATTTATGGGCAACAACTACGCGTACGCGCGCTTCTCTGTGTGCGATTCAATGATCAACGTTTTTCCTTACCAATTGATCCTTACGAATGTGTGCGTGCGCAGTAAAATCAGTTAAAATAATGCATTACCACACATTTTGAATTTAAAAGATAAAAAGGACAGAAAGTTTGAGATTTTTATATATTACTTATTCTGAGCCTACCCTTTAAATAATCCTGTATACGTATGCCATATTGTTTTATCAATGTGTGGGCGGAATACCGGAACAACCAGACGTTTTATTTTTTCTTATTATTTTGGTTTAGTTTTCAGATATATGTGATTGCGTTCGACATAAAACCAACGAAATTGATGGGATATATTTGCTTTTAAAGTATATGCTTTATAACACTTTTCCCTTAGCTATGTGAATTTAATCTCTGCCAGATCTGGTAACTCGAATAGTTTTCAGCTGAAACATTCGTGGATAGTGCTATGTAAAGCAGCGTACATAAAATGCTCTTATTTTTGATGATGACGATGCACAAAAACTTAATAATAATAAATAAATTTATTTATAGAATAAAACCATATTAGCAATAGCTGTGTGTCGGAATTCAGTTCCTTCTCATAATATCTACAAAGTTACAATTACAAAATTGCTCATTGCAAATCAGAACAAGATAACAAAAGAAATAAAAATACTTTTATCTATATGAATATTACAATAATCAAAATATAGATTTGGGGGGGGGGGGGGGTTCAACAAAATTTGATATGGAATAAGTAATATATATCATATTTATATATATATATATATATATATATATATATATATATATATATATATATATAAAAATATGATATATATAATAAAATGGAATTATATTTACATTATAATTGCAAAAATGCAAACATGAAAAAAAATATAGATATTTTAGAAATCGATTTTTTGGGAATCGATACATCAGTTTACAATTCAAATCTATTTAAAAAATCGACCTTTTTCGGAAAGAATCGACATCCCTACTGACAATAATAATAAAAAATGGCGTCAGTTTCACGGTAGGAATTGACATAAATATTGCAAAAATATTTGATTTTCAATTTTTTTTTTCTCAATAAGTACGTGTTTCCGCATATTGAAACTTTGTGTGTGTACTTATAAATATGTAATCCTTCTGTAAAAATACATATCAACACCAAACTCGACGGACGTCAATGGAAAGTCGTACTGTGACCTATGTTCAACAGTGGTATTTGCTATGTCTCTAATAATGATGATGTACAGACAGATGGAACACACATTTTGAGAGGCATCTACAAGTCTGACTAAGCTATCGATTTCAAAGTTTAAACTTACTCCAAGTCAAGGGCTGTTGTTCCGAGGACACAAAGTTATAAATGGGTGGTGGCTGGTCTACTGGCGGTGCATCTTCATGGTTCCCAGGGTAGTCTCGTGCCGTTCGCCAAGCGGTAGCTATACATGCATTTACTACCATGTCTCCCGGAACTAAATCAGCAATTGCTAAGGGGTTGCAGTTTAGCGCATGGAGAAGACCCACCGCTGCTCCAACAACCACCTGAGAAATAAATATACTTAATACAAATCAGGAGATGGGTAGCAGCCTCTTCACAATAACGACTAAAACTAAAAAAACTGTAGTTCCCCCCCACTTGCCAGTCGGGGCAACTATGGCAAATTACCCTCCTATGTATAATCCTATATAATCTACAGGGGAAGCTTATGTTCAGCTGTAGACTTTAATATGCTGTAACGGTAACGGTAAACCTATAAAACCACTTATTTGGTAGAGTCATGCTGCAGAGGCTGCACGTATGGGCTTAACCGGTAACGACCACGCTTGACGCACACTTAACATAAGGTGGCATTTTATCAATAAGTAAAAACATACTGACATAGTGGTGCTACTTTTTTAAAGTAAGTGATGAAAACCGGAGACTATTTTGCTGATAATAAGACATTCCATCTTAGGTGTCAATATATCTGTCATTAAATTCTTAACATATAATTAAATTAAAAATAAAAAAAAACCAGAAACAAAAATAGCTAATGATCTTCAAGCGGCCGATCAGATTTTCTTGTAATATATCTAAGAACACTCTCGATCAAAACACCTTTCGTCCATTCAGAAGCTATGACAGACAGACAGCTAAGCCACAGACAGACACACAGATGCAAAAACACGCAGATACACAGACAACAAGATACACAGACACAAAGATACACAGACACACAGGTACAGAGACACACAGATACACAAATGCACACTACAAACACATATCACCCCTCTGTTTTCGTTGGGGGTTAAAATAGATGTAGTCATATGTATATATACTAAAATGAAAAACACACTGTACGACTTTAAAAGTTGGTTTACTACAAACGATCATTTATTAAATACAAATAAAACATACGTAATGCTTTTTAAATCTACAGCAAGACAAAAATAATCAATTAAAGCGTTAACATTGACGGTATAAATATTGACTCTGTTGAATCAGTTAAATTTCTAGGAATATACATTCACATGTATTTGAATTGGAAAAAGGAAATTAAAGCACTAGAATCCACTATCAGTTCAGCATGTTATGCCTTAAGAAGTTTACGAGAAGAAGTTACGTTAGAACAGCTAAAAATGGTTTATTTTGCTCTAGTAGAATCTAAACTACGTAATAGCATAATATTCTGGGGCAATTGTTATAAGTATAATATTAAGGCAGCGTTTGTACTACAAAAAAGGGCGATCCGTACCATGTTACGTATTCCATAAATTGAGTCGTGTAAGGAACATTTCCGAAATATTGGCATATTAACGGTCCCCTTTCTGTATATCTTAGTTTCACTTACTTATTTAGTAAGGAACTATCACAAATATGAAACATACAGAAAGGAAAAAGAGAAAAATGACCCGTCGAAAAGATTTAAACATTTCTATCACACCTACATTGAATGTTGTACACCACAGCACTATTGGTCTATTTAATTCTTTGCCTACCTCATTTAAAACTATTTATTGCCACCTCAAATTTCAAAATAAATTAAAATCATTAATTAATAAAAGCTACTACTCAGTTGACGATCACATAAATGACAAAAATAAACTTAATGAATGTAAATTTTTATTGTTTAGTACTGTATAATTTATAATATATTATGACATGAAAAGTATTTAATTAATTTGTTAAATTGTGTTTAAATTTTATCGATTCTAATTTTATTTAAAATATTCGCATGTAAATGTTGGTCTTTATCCATGTAATAAATTTCCATTACAATGTAATATTGTTCTATGGAATAAATGAATATGACTATGACTATGTGACTATGGTTTACAACAACCATTCTATCCAACTTAGAGCGACAAACTACCACACATGCCATATAAGTGGATGCTGTAAGCCATATATACCCAAATCTATCCTCAGTTAAGGGTCAAAATTAAAATGTATTTTTACCCCTAAGGCTAAGATAGAATGTCTTATTACCAATATAATGGATCTCTGGTTTGCGTCACTCATCGTACGAAACAAAGCAGTATTATGCTGTTATATGCACTCGTTCAACGCGATGGTGTTGCGAAGTGGATCCTGTGAGCTGTACGTCTTCATTTATCGTCAGTTATCCGCCGTGTAATGGCGGCGTAAATAGTATATTTCATTACGAGTGCGGAAAGCCTGTCATTGCAAAGAGTTCCGACAAATGCCTACCCGAGCCGAGGCGCAGCCGAAGGTGAGGGTTGACAGTCGGAACAAGTTGCAATGACGGTTCCGCACGTGTACTGAACAACTATTTTTAATTTTTTAATACAGTTGCGAAAACATGAAGCAATTTAATAAAGAACATTTTTGGAAAATGGCGCCAACCGTAAAAGAATATAAGCAGAGATTTTTTTTGTTTTCTTCACCCATTCTGGGTAGGCAAAGGGAACTATACCCATACAGCCAAATCTTCAGTAGAATTTTTTTATTGATATGAAATGAAAATGAAATTTAATGAGATGAAATGAAATGAAACCTAACCTAACTCATTGAATCAAATCATTAAATCTAATATTGAAACAAATTAGTAGCTTCTTTTTAGAAATATTTGCATGTATGATAAAAACTTCTATGAATTTTTTTTAGTAAAAACTTCGTGGTTGGTTTTTTCTTTTTAATAGACATTATTTTGACAGTTGGGAAAGAGAACGCCCACATCCCGAACGTTATACGTCCCTGCAATACGCCACTTTTTGAGCAACTGTATTAAAAATATCTGCTACTCCATATCATCCCGTGTCGTGGGTGAAGATATAAGGTAGTGAAACAGGAAAGTGCTAACAGCATCATCTCGATAACAATTAAAAATAATAAAAACTGAGACTGCCAATCCGCCTGCCTAACGTGGCAACTATGGCAAATATTTCTCTTATGAGGCAATCTATAGGGGAGTACTAAGCTGTGGACTTTTGATAGGCTGTAATTAACGGATAATCGGATGATGTAGGTCGATGATGAGTAAGGAGTCAAAATACGCAAACGAGACCCATTTTACTGGAAAAGAGGCATTCCATCTTAGTCTTCACGGGTGACAACGCATCTACATTTTGATTCGCAAACGAGGATAGATGTAGATGTCTATTGGCCACAGCAACCCCTTACCATCAGGTGGACTGTGTGTTCGTTTGTTACCCTATCCTATAAACCCTGAGGATAAGATGGAATGTCTTGTTACCAGTATGAAGGTTCTCAGTTTCCCGTCACTGCTGCTATTATAAGCTTATATTCAGCGTGCATAATTAATAAAAGTAAAAGAAAATGAAACTAATAATGTTTGCTTCGAATTAGAGCCCTTTTACTGGAAAGAGGTATTCCATTAGCCCTCACGGCTCTGCATCTGCATTTTGATTCGCAAACGAGGATAGATGTCTACGGGCTACAATAACCACTTACCATCAGGTGAACTGTGTGCCCGCTTATCACCCTTATCATATATAAAAGAAAGTTAGCTGAGTCAATTAAGTAACATTATTATACACAAAATTTGTTCTCACCCCCGTAGGTCCATATACGTTGTCGATCCACCCTGCTACAGGCTCTTTGGATGTACCAATAACTGAAAATAATATAATTACCGATATTTTTGTAATATAATAATGTATTTAAAGAATGATAGTTATTAAAAGTAATTTCAGAAATCAGTCAAATACAAACAATAATTAACAATAATTAATAGTATTTTGAGGAATTATTATTGGCTTGTAACATATTATTAGTTAGTTAGACAGTTAGACAAATGTTAGTTATCTTTAAAAATAAAATAAAATAAACAATTGTGCAATGAAACAGTCTTCCGTACCATAGACTCTCTACTTTAATTAAATAACTAAATTATTATATATTAGGTTCTAACATATGATATTGGCATTTTGTACTCGAGGAATATAAAGTCAATTTTTTTTGTAAAATATATTTAATTAATCAAAGTATGCACCGTTGTTATCTATGCACTTTTGCCATCTCATAGGTAGTTCATTATTTCCTTTACTAAAAAAAACCATGGGGGCGAGAAGTAATAAAATCTTTGATGGCAGTTTGGACTGCCGCATCGAAGTTGAATTTTTTTCCTTGTAAGAAGTTGTCCTAATTCCGGAAAAAATGGTAATCTCTTGGAACAAGGTCCGGGGAATACGATGGATGTCGCAGACATTCCAATTGTAGCTCATCTAACTTAGTGGTTGTTTGTTGTGCAGTGTGTGGTCTTGCGTTATCGTGAAGCAGCAGTGGCCTAGATCGATTGACCAATCTCGGTTGTTTAGCGCCTAGTTCTTCCTTCGTGGTTTGCAGTTGCTAACAATAGATATCTGCCGTAATCGTTTGGCCAGATTTTAGAAAGCTACAGTGAACGACACCGGCGCTTGTCTACCAAACACTAACAAGTAACTTCGAGTCAATTTTCGTTAGGGCAGGATTTAGCTGGGTCTCTAGGGTTCAGCCATTGCGACGAGCACTTCCGATTATCGTACAGTATCCACTTTTCATCACAAGTAATGATTCGATTTAAAATCCCTTCATTATTGTGTCGGTTGATCAAAGTAACACAGCAGTCGACGCGTGTTTGCAAGTTCGATTCACTTAATTCATTAGGTACCCATCGTTCAAGTTTTTTTACTTTCCTGATTTGCTTGAAGTGGATTAATACAGTTTTATCACTTACCCCGAAGCCTGCAGCTATCTCTGAAGTGCTTTATGATGATGCTTCCACAGTAGCCTTTAATTCTTCATTTTCCACTTTGGTCTCCGGCCGTCCACGGAGTTGGTTCTGAAGGTCGAAATTTCCAGAACGAAAACGTTGAAACCAAAAACGTATCGTGCTTCCTTTTGCGACACCAATGCCATACACATCATTAATTCTTCGTGCTGTTTCTACAGCACTGGTGCCACGGTAGAACTCGTACTCGTAAATATACAGATATTTCATGTTTTCTATTGTGCGGTAATAAGCGACGCCAAAGAAAAAAATAATGAGGAAAAAACAATTGAATGACTGTTTTTAAAACTCAAATATACCAGCTAAATGAATTTATAAATTTGAATTAGAAATTCTTAACCAAAGAGGAGATATTTCAGATCAAAGTGGTCAGTACGACAAAACGCTAATTTCATATGTAAGGATCTTTTGACCTCAATTGACCTCATAACTTTTGTTTTGAAAACTTCTCTAGAATCGTTGTGATTTGAATCGGTGGGAATTAGTAGTGTTTATGCCATCTAGCGATTATTTTACGTACCACCTTGAGAATCAAATCAAAACTCAATCAAAACTTTTGTTCCATAAAATGTCTTTACATATAGAATGAAGTAGATGGCGCTATTAAGAAGGTATTTTACTCGCAGAGTTTTGAATGTTTCACTTCTACTGCATGTGACATTTTTTTTTCATAACTTAATATAATATCCCATCCTACATCTTTTTCTCAATATAAACTGAACTGAAATTGATTTCTCCTTAATTTGATTTATTTTCATCTTTTAGTTCTCATGTGTGTGTTTTCTTTAGGTTTATTTTGTAGTGAAGCTTTTTAGGGTCCCATATTTGGGTAGAGTAAATTTTGTAATATACGATAAATATAAAAAAAAACATATTCTGCTTTTCGAAGTATAAAAATATGTTTTTCAATAACATAGGGTACGCGTATATTAGAACGAGAAAGATAGGCTAGACAATTCACGTAGACACTATCGGCCTATATCGATCTGGTATCATTCGTGAGAAAAAAACAATTCCCGCTGGTATTATAATTGAATATGCACAATTGCAGTTGAGGCAGGCAATGCATAGTGCAGCAAGCACTATTTATCACCAACACATGCACATTACATGCACACAGGTATATTTTGTATTTGGTCTCGCCCTAATCACTCCATCGCCAATCTATACTATACTATATCTATTGTTATACTTATAGTTATGTTATTCAAGGTAATTAATAACACTGTGAGGTCATAAGTGTTACATTTTTACAGTCCTAATGACTTAAGTCAAGGATTTCCTGCGTTAAAAGGCTTTTAGCGCTCCCTTCTCTGCTACATGCATATTTGTCCAGCACGAAGTGGCTCAGGAATCAAAACTGTAAGCGACGATTTTAATCTTAAGTTACCGAATCGAAAAACGTATTATTACTGGGTGTGCTTTACTTATGGGAGATGTGTTCTTAAAAAAAACATTAATTGTAATAAGATACAAATATAGCAAATCAGCTAATTAACAGTCAGATAAAAATATATTTTTATTCTGAGATAAGCACACAAGATAACAGCTTAAACTTCTGTTTTTATGGCGTTCCATCTTAATCCTCAGGGGTGACACCGCATCTGCATTTTGATTCGCAATAATGGATAGATGTCGTGGTGTCTATGAGCCATCCACCATCATGTACTGTGTGGTCGTTTGCCATCCCTAATTTATAAAAAAAGATCAATAGTGTTTAAACTTACCTATAGAAGGCCTAAACAGAGCTACTGGTAATCCTGTGGAATAATGCTGCACGATATCTTCTGCAGCTGACTTTGTGTATGCATATGTGTTCGGGAAATCCCCAAGTAAACTGTAAAATAAGGCTAGATTAAAATTATAATTATACTATTATACTTAACGTTTATGCATATTATCAATTTTATCTACCATCCGAATAAAGTACATAATGAATTGTATAAACTATTTTATTGTACCCTCTCTATTCTTTGTATATACAGGGCTATTTTTCAAAGACTATCCAAATTTTAATCTTAAGTTCAAATATATAAATAATGATATACCGTTATTGAAGTTTTTGAAAATACGAGTAAATAACGCTTCTAATTTTATCTGAAATTATTACAAATTGAATGTGATTTATGGGCAACAAAGTTTTTGCCTACCGATCGACCCTTATGAATGTATCCGTCCGCAGTATAAATTAAAATTAAAAATTTTGTACGAACGACTTCAATATAAATTATTAAGATTAACTCAAAAACTATTAACCAGACTTTGATCAAATTTACAAATGACCACACGTGAAGCATTAGCTTCCAAATAAAAAAAGAATCATCGCAATTGGTTCATCCAGTAAAAAGTTATGAGGTAACACACATAAAAAGCATACAGTATATTCAGTGATCGCCTTTGTGAAACCGGTAGAAAATAAAATAAATAGTGACAGAATCATTGAGATTTTTTTAATTTAATTTTTCTTCACCATTTGCCTATGTTAAATATTCTAAACCTTCTCTGCAAATTTGGCCGGTTATTGCAAAATAACCCTATTTATATTTGAAAATCGCAGGCACTCAATTTTATAATACGATAGCAAATAGAGATCGATTTCCATAACTGCCTATGAAGTTGTTAATATAAATTTTAAATGTGTATTTATTACGAGCTCGTCAATGAAGTAAAGGTCTTAACATCTGTCTTAGAATCTGTCGACAAGTATTGGAGTAACAAGGGCGAGATCTTCGATGCTCTAAAACTAACTCAGTTATGAGATCTACCTCTTGTGCCTAGTGGGACAATTCAACTGAGCAATATGGTCCGTGTAAAAATATGTCATAACGTGAAAGAAACGTATATTTGTAAAACGTATATTATCCAGTTTATCAGTACTCACCCAGGTGTAATGTTATTAATAATTTTCTCATCCAGATTCTCAACCAGGTCAATCAGTTTTTCTCCATTTAATGGACTTTCATAGAATTTTTCATCTATTTCTCTTAATGGACAATTGCTGTAAAACATGTTTTATTAAATACTAAGCGAACAAATTTATTAATTGGTTGTCTAAATTACGTCTAGGCTAAATAGTATTAAATTAACAAAACCTGCAAAATCAATGGCATATGCATGTTTTTTTAATAAAGAGTGTAACGTAAAATAAAAAATAAATGAGTACTACCTTACTCTAAAAGTGCTATTGCAAGCGGTGAATTCTGCTGATTAAAGACCGAGCTATTTACAGTTTCATTTCACGTCGTAGTCTAAGATGGTAATATGCACTGACTTAACAAAAGTCTTTCATTCATGTCTTGTCCACATAGCCGAATGGAAAGACAGATACTCCCAAATTATTCCACTTCTTTGCTGTACACATGACGAACGATAAACAGACAAGACGTTCCCTAACCGTCACTATCATGTGAATGGTGATAGGGATATTTCAGCAATACAGTCCACTTCTCCCACGTAATGCGTTCGGACGAATATTTTAACTTTCACTGTCCAATTTTTAGATACAATGGAAAGACATTAGCAATGAACTATATGTAGTACACTGGACAGTGAATGGGTTAAGATCAGCCGTCTTATAGCGCATTCTAAAAAGGACTATTCTTGTTCAACAGTAGATTCATAAGTATTATAAAGAAGTGTTAAATCATAAAAACTGATAGTTTTAGTAGGTATTAGTTGGCAATCACCAACATAAACGGAAACTGAGTCGTAGGTTTAAATTATTGGTTTTCGAGTCAAGTATAAATAGACGTTATTGTAAAAAAAACTTGACCTTATCTAATAATTATATCGTATTATTCAATAAATTTAAAACGATTTTATGTTTATATAATAACAAGAATAACATGCCAATTTTAGACAAAATATGCGGTTTCGAAACCCGAATGGCCTACAAGTTTTTGCTTTGTATATAAATATGATATAATATGAATTTCATCCATGTTAATTTATACGCATAAAATGCCTTCGCAATACGAGAGAAAATACTACTGTGGGGATAAATTTGTTTTCTTTTTTAAAGTAACCATATTTAAACCAACAATAAGAGGTATTTTCGACATTAATTTTAAATACCTGTATGCCGTAGAAATATGAACCATGGCTTTCAGTTTCGGGCAACCACGTGCCAAAGCCAAAATCTCTCTGGTGCCTCTGACATTAATTTCTACTGCAGTCTTGAGAGCCTCATCGAAGCGTACTGTTGCTGCACCATGGAAAATGAATTCAACCTGGAAAAGTCTTCCAAATTTAAAAATTATAATCTACTTATTGTGGTGAACAAAATACAAAAAATATACTTTGCTGTCTTTAAGTTAAAAAAAGTTTTATGTACGAAAAAAACTGAATTGAATAAAAACTGCATAGTAATGAATACATTCTTTACTAGGTGCTCATTACGTAACTTTCTTTTAAGAGATTGATCTAGAGTCGACATCATCATAATATTTGTTCAGGACGTAAGAAAACACGCATACACAGACAACATTTCAAATAGTTTGACTATAAAATAAAATAAATAAAAAAATGGCAAATGGCGTTGCTTATTAACTTGAAAATAGGTTGAAGTTGCGACACACACATATTATAATATCACAAACAAGAACATGTTTTCATCTCTCAATGCAACGGAGGTAAAGGTATCTTAATGCACTGTAAATTATGTGTTATTATTGCTGAAGACAAAAAAAAATATTTAAATAATTTTGCTCTGATCTGTTTTTACTTTAATAAGTATGTGGCCGATTTGGCGCTGTAAACTTTGTAGATCATTGGGCTATACAAATATTGATGGGCTATAAAAAATGTGTCTGAAGAAATCTATACACACGACCGCAAGCATGCATAGTTATTAGGATAATTATGGAGTCATTTCACTCATCATTCTCTTTGCGTACAAAAATAAAAATAAAGTAACTAACCTCTTTTAATAATTTCACTCTGTCTTCGTGGCTGATGCCAAGGTTCAGTTGGCTAACATCTCCTTCTATAATGCTGATTTTTTGGATAAAATTTGGACACTCCTTCCTTAACCTGTCATATAACTGTAAAAAGCAATTAAAACAATATGATTATGTACTTTTAAATTATTATTTAATGTCACATATTGTAGGTTTAGGATAATATTTTCCATGGGAGCCATGCTTGGTCGGCGTTTTTTTTTTGCTGAATTTCTGTTGAATTTGTTTTCCTTTGTCGCATCTTACTACACCCACGGGATAATATTATGAAGTAGTGGATATTCTTACGTCGCCATTACACGGCACGATTTGCTTTGCTTGCATGGCATAATAAAACATTATCACTGGGGAACATCACTAGGAAAATGTATTTATTTTTTATTTAAGTTTGCAAAAAATAACAAATTTATCACTTACAACATCGTCAAATTGTTCTTGCAGCCGTTTTGTGATATCCTTGTTTTTCTTTGGCCTGGCCAGCAAGTAAAGTTTCTTTATACCCGGGCATGATCTGCAAAAACACACAATTAAAAAAATATAATATTCCGGAAATGTGAGAAATCAACGTGCCGTATGTATTGCTATATAACGGATGTGGAAGAAAGTTTCTAGAGTGGCAGCCACAGATAGAGTAGCTGGTAAGACATGCAAGAGACCGTAATTTGTGACATTACTTGGGTGAGGCTTATGTTTAACAGTAGACTTGTGAAATAATGTAATGATAACAGTAATGAATGTGTCGATGGTAAGTCTTTAAGGAGAAATGCAGTATCTGACATTAACAAAGTGTAGTGTTACAGATTTGGTGCAGTAATGACAACTACAAGACAATCAAATTTTTAAATACTTAATGTCACACATAGGAATTTTAATTTGCTTATTTCCAAACAATTTGATTATTTGTATTTTACCCGATTGCCATAGAACGAGGGTAACCTTTTTTTTACGAGAGAAAATGTATTTTGCCTGCATATGAAATTATGTCAATATAAAATTTCTTTAATTATCGTTAGAAATGTACAAGCTTTGACTATATAGCATTTCAGTTTAGGTGCCAGGTTTTGCTTTGAATTCTTTCGTGTGTTTTATGTAAAATATTAAAGTTCAATGTTAAAATAAAAGGTTGTCAGCGTACCGATTAAATCTCAGATACATCTGAAACGTGGAAGGTTAACACAAGTGAGCGTCGTTTCTCAGCACTAAGACCAAAATACTCACAGCCTTTGCATATAAATAATTACAATAGTAGATGATTCCATGATATAATGGTAAATGAATACATAGTTAGTAATAAACCCCGGGAGTAAGGTGATCGTTTCCCAGCTGTTTCTTAATGATGTTTTTAAATTATTGTACAACCTATTTTAAAAAATACGTGTCGCTGGCTTTCTTGCTGGTTCTTCCCACGATAGAGGTTATTTTTTTCTGAAAGGGGTAAAAGTAAAAAATGACTCAATAAAAATTAATTATAATCTATACATACAGAAAATAATAAATACTCCCTTCTATTCTATTCATATATTTTTACCGTTCAAAGAGGAAAGCATTAGCTCGCTGTTGAATGTAGAAATAGGTAAAAGTGTTTCCAGTAAGATAAAGATCTCTATTACTTCGCCAAATTCAAATAATAACAGAAACACGAGCACATCATAGAGTACAACAAAGTACGCTCACCTGCATTAATCGAATTTCTGCACATTAAAGATTAATATATATTTTGGATTTATCTTTGTATTCGTTAGAAGAATAGGAATATTAATAAAGCGTTTATTGAATGAATTATTCAGTAACGATGTAATAAGCGTACATGGAACATTACACGTATTGGTTAGGTATGAATAATATAAAAGTGACATTTTAATGCGCGGACAGGTGGGCCGAGAACCACTCGCGCGGCGTGACGGGTCAATGGTTATGATATTTTATTATGACAGATTTATACGTGGCAACTTTATTATGGCAGTAACACAGACGGGTCGACTTAACCGTTAAAGGTCCACACACAGAATACCAGCTAAAATAACAGCATAACTGTGTTTTTCGTATGGTGGGGAACGAAAATCTTAGACCATATTTATTGATCTTAACCACAATTTTATTGTTTACATAACACTGAAATATATACAATAATTAAAAACCATAATTAAAAAAAAACTATAACAAATAACTGAAATAATATAAAATTAAACTCCGCCTTTGCCGGTCCCAAGCCCGGATAAGAAAGGAGGAGGGGTGGTTCCGCCGGAAAGAGTGGGTGTATCCGATGGACTAACACACCCACCAGCGCTAGAACCTGCGCAGTTGAGCGTCGTACGCGGGGATGACGGAGTCCTGGAGGGTTGAGCCAATCGTCACTGGGATATATAGGCCCTATCTGCTAGGCACAGGTAGGGAAATGGCCAAGCGCCCTTTCAGAGGGTCGCAAGCGAGGGACGTGGGGGCTGCCTAGTTTCCTGAAAAGGGCTAGGTGGTAGTAAAGGCCATGCTGAGCAAGTGACAGTCATTCAGGCAGCGGGGATGGGCCTTTTTGCCCTGTCTGCCAACTGGATCGAGCTCCCGATGTCGCGCTGTGAGCCAACTTATATTCTCCCGGTAATCCCAACGCTTGAAATTCCTTTTGTTATAAAGTAGGGCGTTCCCAAAGGTGTGGGCTCCACTTGTGGACGAATCTTCAAACTAAATTAATAATGGAAGACTTATGGCCCATAAGAAAAGAAGGAGAGGTGTCAGAGTTGACTACCAGAGGCACCAACACTCAAGGAGAAACTGCCAGTAAAATGACGACTCTTCAGAACACGTTATCGAGCGTAGGTGGCCCTTTCAAGGGACCTTCCGCACTGGACGCTCCTAAAACGAGTTCCTCGGAGCTGGAAATGGATATTGAATAAGGGACCGCGAGGAGAAATACTCCTAAGGAACCCTTTAGGACGGAGGACCTCTTCTCAGCTGCCTGGCAATTGGTAAGACGTAAAGGGAAAGGCAAGACAACCAAAAAGATGACTAACCGACCCGACGGACCATCAAGTGGATCTATCCAGCCAGGGAGCGGAAGTAGGGTAAAGAAAAAGAACAGGAAGCAGAGAGAGAAAGCCCGTAAAGAAAGGGCAGAGCTGGCTGCTCCCAAAACCAGTACTAAGGAGGCTGGGCAAGCTGCTGCTCCTGAGGTGCTTGGACCTGGACCCAGTAGATGTACTGAAACTGGAAAGTATAAAAATCCTGTCCAAGTGGAAGTTGCAGCTGCTGTTGGACCGGTTCCAAGAAATCCGCCAGGAAACAGAGAGCGGCCAAGCGCCCTGGTAAGAAAGAAAGAGCAGCCAAAAGAAGGCTGGACGAGAACACCTCGCCGAGAGGCGAACATAAAAAGGTGAGACTCGAACAGCAATCCAAGGCTGCAAAGACATTAGTTTTAATCCATGTGTGGTATTCGTTATTATGGAACTGTATTTATGAAATTTTCAACTCTACTCGAAGTAAAAAGAAATATCTATATCTATTTTATGGTGCCCATCAATATTAAATATGACCAATGATATAAATAAAATGTCTCAAATAAACATTATATTACTTTGTTAAAACTAAATTAACTAAAGTAAGAGTAAAATGTAAATAATAATAATACATTTTGGTATCAAGACTATTTACCTTTCTTATGGATACATCGGAATCAGAAGACACGCCCGATATAAAAAATAGTAAGTGTTTGTAGACATACCATATATTCACTTGTTTCTGTAGCATGTTACCAATCATCTACGTCTAATTGTATTTTAGAATAAAAAAAAATATGTTTCTGCAGTTAAAGCTGAATTGTGTGTGGCCCTAACGTGTGCGCGTACAGGAGACATCACAAAAGAAATAGCTGGACTGATTGAAGGGGGACATCGCTACCCTCGACCTCAAATCTATCACCTCGCTGGTCATAAAGAAGCATTCGGAGATACCACAAAGGGTCAAATGTGGTATCCTCATCCCAGACGCCCAGGGGGGCCTGGAAAGACTCACGCGACATTGGTCATGTGCTGGCATACCAGAACCGCTGGGTAAATGTAAAAGATTGGCTGCTGCTCAAGGCCGACAAACAGACGGAAAGATGGTTCCTCGTTGTTTCGGTGCTGGAGGATCATATCCCGGCCCTGTTGAAAGCCAGACGCCGCCTCGCATGTGTATGTGGGGCGGTCTACGTAAAATTCCAGGGTCGTGGAAGTAAATTTTATGACACTCCACCGAGCAAAGAGGCTGTAAACCATCCAAAAGCCGCAGACACCGCTGCCATGGACACCGAGGTAGCAGAACTATCACTGGACCCCAAGACCAGTGACAAAACAGCCTGCACAACCGAGTTGAAGCCACCAACGAAGATCGGGCTCAGCGGCGGTTCACTGAGTGAAGAGGAGGGCTCTACTTTGCCGTCCAACTCTGACTCGGTGGCTGACGATGAGACCCGAGATCTGCTGGCAGGCTTATTTTTGGAACAGCAGCAGCTGCCGCTATTTATTTTAATTACTTAGTTTATACTATAACTATTATTGAAATGTAGAATATAACAAGGTGGTGATAAAAATGAAGTTGTTCTATTTCAGTGTATGTTAATTATACACCGAAATAGAAGAAGGTAGGTTTAAGTTAACGTTAAATATGACAAGATGCCCCACAATCTATGAGGGAGGCCTATGCTTAGCAGTAGCTGTAATGGATGAATGGAATGGATTCTAGGTGTCACAGTATCTACTTGTGACAAGTGTAGTGTCGACTCGTTTGATACTTGAATAAAAGGTCTATGTCGTCTCTAACAAAATGTCTTATTATATCTTGACAGGACACATTTTTAAATATTTTTTAATCTAATAATACGAAGAAATTTTAAGTAAAGAAAAAGACTGCAAATGTTTTATATACATACATCTGATTCTTAATATTTCAGGGTTGACTAGCAAAACTTACAATAGGCTGTAGGCTTACAATAGGCAATAGCCGAAACGCCTGATGGCGTTATGTCGGCCTATTGTAAGCCTTTGGAAGGTGGCATTGTATATAATCGTTACGCTACAGTTTATCAAAAGTCCGCTGCTGAACATAGGCTTCTCCCTTATGTAGGATATTTGCCATTGCTGCCATGTTTGGCAAATTGGTTGACCAACGCAGTGTTTTGCATCGCCTGGTTTGTTTTCCTCTGCCGCCTCTTATGCTCCTAACGGGACGATATGGTACAGTAAATATTCTTACACTGCCACTACACGATTGGAACGATAAAAAGTAAAGAGTACATAAATTAATAAAATAAAAAAATATAATTAGTTAATTATTTGCTTTCCCCGCATCTTCATCTTCATAAACTACTTCCATTTGCAGAGAATAAAACTTTGGAGTATATTATGTTTGTCCATACATCGTTGGACATGTGTGAGAAGAAAATCACAAAGCATTATAAGTGAGGTACAAAATCTAATATATAAAAATTAATGTTTGTTTGTTTATATTTTATGCGCTGCCATTCCGTTCACCAGATTGCTG